CTGTAATTTTATTTTTCTTTGTTTCAGCTTCTTGCACAATGAATTCCATGAAGAACATTAAATAGGGCACTTGCAGTGATGTATAAATTATAGGAGTCACTTCACCTCCTACTGCAATGTTATCTTGCTGCCAGATGCACCAGGAATACAGTGCAGTAATTCGTGACAGGAAAAGAAAGCAAAACTTCTAGTAATGAGCATAAAACACTCACAATCTGTATTTCACAGCTCTGCCTGTTGGAAAAACAGGTATCAATGCAGGGACCAAACCTAAACCATCACAAGGTGGCTGAGAGTTAGGGTTCTGAGCCATCTCATCTGTCCAACATGCTGTCACAGAGAAGAGGACATGCACGTGTAGGAAGAGGTTTGCATGTAAAGTCTCACATTGTTCTGCTCACAGGACTAAGCCTTCCCCAAAGCAGTGACTGCTCTTTAATAATCATCTACAGCATGTTCACTCTCTAGGCTAAACTGGTGCTTTGGAGATTTCTGGTGGTCATCAGTTGTTTTCTGCAATGCAATTAATCTGGCCAACATGTAGGAAAAATTAGAAACATGCTCAAAGATTAGCCCAGAAGCATCTATCCTATTAACCATTCTTTCTTAATAATATATAAAAATAAATTATTTCATTTATCCCTTTTAATTCAGAATTAGGGCTAAGAAAGCTAATGAGTGCTACCAGCTGTTATACCTGACTGAACTCTGTCCTGATTATTCTTCTTACCCACAGAATGGTAAAGGACAAGATCTGCCACCAATCAAACATTGTCCCGGGAAGTTGAAGCCAAAAACTGCCAAATCAAGAGATGAAGGAGTATTTTCTTTGGTTGCAACACATGGAATTCCACTGGTTGAAAGACACTTGTTTGAACCTGATTGGAGGTTATCTTCTGCTAAAATTTCCAAGATCAGTGAATATATTGGCTTTAAGACCATCAAAACTTCTACTTATCCCATTTCAGCTGGGGCTGTCATGAGTTTTCAACCTAATTCTGAGCTTAAACCTCTCCTGAGTCACAAATTTGAGAAAGATTTAAAATTCATTTACAGAAAAAGAACTGTTTGTGTGTTTGTATAAAACTGTAAGACTTTTTTCCTGGTTGAGAGTTCCCTGCCATTAAACTCAGTCATTTCACTTCATTTGACCTGGTTCAGACCTCTCTGCCTTTTGGAACATTTCAATAGCTACAGAAGTGGTTAGATAATAGCTAACAAATAAAATACCAGCCCAGAGTAACTGGAACAAATAAGCTGTGTAGCACAAATTCTCACTGAAACTCAGCAGAAATCAGAGCTCTCTACAGGGCTCAGCTATGGCTGGAACAGCAGTCCTGATGTGAAGTATGGCAATTTGTCCACCTGCAGTTTTATAACTCCTCATGTAAAATCAGTAAATTGTCCCAGGATTTATTATTTTTCCTTGGATAGGTTACCACTAAAATTTTTTGTAACTTGTCTATGAAAATGAAACGGTTTTAATATTTCCTCCATAACATGAAGTTGAGAACATATAAACAATTTTTATTTTTATTATTATTATTATTATTATTATTATTATTATTATTATTATTATTATCATCGTCCTCAATCTTCATGTTGTTGCTGGTATTTAGGGGAAGGTGGAGAGACTGTGAAAGCAATACTTGTTGCCTTACTACACAAAACATAATGCAAAAAAAAAATATGTTGACTAAGTTTTGCATGCTAATAAATTTGTTATGACTTCATCCAATTATGGCACATTTAGCAGTTTGTATACCACAATGAAATCTGCAATTATAATTTTTGTGACTTTATGTTCCAGACAAGATGATGGGATTGCTGCTCAGCAGCTCCTAATCGGGTTTACATTTTTATGTCCTGTATGAAATTTGTGGCAAATTGCATCTTTCCATTTAACATTTAGCAGACAGGTGCACAGAAAGCAAAGCTGGTGGTGGCAGAGTGGGACTTGTTAGCCACTACAAAATGCAACATATTTATACTAGGAAAAAAGCCCTATTTTATGCATAAATCTCACTAATTAGTAAAATCTGGATAAGCAGTATTTTCTATGAGATATAGGCATACCATATTCAAACTCTTTGTTGAATAGGCTCTCATTTGGAGCTGAGAACATTGGTTAGAAATATGCATATTATGGCCAGTCATGACAGAAATATTGAGTTATGGCCCTGTTTATAAAACTGCAGAGGCTTTGGCCATCCCTTGATCAAATTCTTGGTAAAAAAGTGTTGACCACACAGCTCTGAGAGCATCATCTCTTGCCATGAGGTGGATTTGCTGAAGGATCCCAGACTACAGCCTCTGAAGTGAAAACACAAAAGTAAAACAGCCCTAACCATCGTATTTTCAGCCTCCTAGAATTACTTGTTAGGATAGTTAAGTATCACCACCATTAGTGAGGACGTTGAGAAGTAGCTGTGGAGAAGCCAATTGGGTTTGTGAAAAGGGTTAAGGGGAAAAAGCTGAACTGAACCATGGGGGTATTTTAAATGGAGGGACATATCCTTCTGATCTCCTATTCCAACTGAAAAGAAAAACAATCATCAGACTCTCACTGCCAACAGCACTGTGCTTCTCTCCTTGAATTCCAGCCTACTGTTAAGAGCAACCCAAATTCACATGGAGACTGCAGTATTATGGAGATTGAGCAATGCCTACCTGACTATTCATGGGAAAAGGTTATTCATAACACTAAGTGACTAAGACTAAAACAGAGAGACTGATATGCCAGAAGTTACAACTTCAGTAACCCCTTTGGTTCAGGTATTTTAAAGTATGATAAAATGACAAGGCTGATGAAGGCAAATTAACAGCTTTTAAAAGTTGGGAGTGGGAGGACGAATGACATTTTGATGAGAAGAATGACAGATAAAATGATCCAGACAATTGGGATTATGCAGAACATAATTCCTGTGCCAATCCACAGGTTTTTTTTTAAAGCAGTAGCAGTTGGGATCTGACAAATGAAACAGTAAAACTATGCTCAAATAAACAAAAATGAGAAGTGTAGCTGTGTGATGAATGCCAATCTAAAACAGGAAATCTGAACACCAGCATGTGAAGCTAATGGCAAATTTTTGCTGAAAGACTAACATTCACATCCCTTTCCTGAATCATAGTTTGGACAGAAACAATAAGCTATCAGAAAGTTTCATTTTACCTCTCCCATTCTTGCACCCACCAGCTTAATGACTGCACAGCTCAGGACTACCAAACACTGCAGCCCCAGAGCTCAAACTACCTCAAAGAAGAATTATTCTGAAATTTCATTGGCTTTCAGTGAGCTGTAAGCCTGAGAAAATACAAATACAGCTTTAATACCAAAGCTGCATTCCCAGGTGATTTGGAAAATTATTTAGTGCTACATAACCAATATATTCCTTTAAAAATACCTTATAAAATAAAATAACACCCCCCTAAATGTCAATTTATCTACTGAACAGCACTGCCCGAGTTAAGTACAGCAAGGAAACAAATGGCATGAATGAGCTCAGAGCCATACGAGCTACTGCACTGACTCATACTGGACAGGACAGTCTTGCTAAACTCAAGAATTTGTAAATGAGAATGAAGGAGCAGGAAAAAATATTCCTGAATATCTTGATCATAATGTCTGAGACTTCTGTGAGTGAAATATCTCCCTGAGAGGTATGAAATTGTGTGAGTGCACCTGTTGCTAATCAGTTTTAAGAACAATCATTCAATTTAATGGAATTTTGAAAATTGCTCTGAAATCCTTTAATTGGAAAGTGAAAGAAAATAATCCTGAATGATCATCATCAAGTCTGTAAATGGGTTCCTGGAAGAGCTCAAGTGCCATCCTGCAGGTCTGTCAGACACTGAGACAAGTCATATATGCCTTTACTTCAGTTTAAGTAAATAATTCTTGCATGTGAGTATCAAGTTCTGTGACTTAAAATAGGAACCATGCATTTGCATATGAAGAAAAATTTCATTTGTCTTAGGGCTATGTAGACGTTTCTCCTGCCCCAGATTTTGGCATGATACTGAAATGGCTCTTAGCTGCTATTTGCGTTAATATATTAATCTCAAATTAAATTGGCCTCTACTCGAGCTACATATGTTACAGCACAACAAACAGATCTTAATTCTTTTACTATTAAGTGAAGTGGCAAACACCAAAGATTACCGAATTACCTCAGACTATGCTACCAAACAGCACAGAATTCAAGGGAATTCTGGGGAAAATTCAAAGGAAAACTGAGATATGTCTTTATGGTACCATGAGCTGCTCACTCAGGAAATATAAAACCTAAACCAAACCAACAAAGAAGCAGGAATAATTCATTGGTCTATCTAGGATTATTTTAAAGGATAGGAAGTTTTGCAGCCCTTTCACTTCAATGATAAATGTTGGGATTTTTAGAGATGGTACATAGTAATTAACTAAATATAATTGAGTATAATTGAACCTTTGGAACAGATTGCCCACAGAAGCTGTGGATGTCCCATCCCTGGAAGTGTTCAAGGCCAAGTTGGCTGGAGTTTTGAGCAACCTGGTCTAGTGAAAAGTGTCCCTGACCACATCAGAGAGATTGGAACTAGATGATCTTTAAGGTCCCTTCCAACCCAGGCCATTCTACAATTCCATGACATAACACGGCATTTTCAATATGATACTTTATCTTATTGAGGGCAATGCTTAAGACACAAACAATAGCTACACCTTCCTGCTAAATGAAGCTGCACTTTCTTTATCACAACACAATTGCAGGGACCCTAGAATGCCCTTCCTAGTCCACCCTCAGGTCGTCAGCCAAGCCATAACTTTGCTCAGACCATGAATGTGCTCCCATCTGATGTCTTGGAGATGACTCTTCCTCTCTGCTAACACCACCACATGTAGAAAGGGCCCAATTCAACCTCTCCTTGTGATGCACAAAAGGACTGTCATGCTAGTTGGGGCTCTGGGGGACTGGAGCATGCAAATATGAAAGAAAAGAAAGTAATAAAAAAAGTTGACTAACCTAACCCACCTGAGCTCGGCTCACAGGGATCGATGTCCTCATCATCGCTAGGACATTCAGCCGAGGCCACCAGGATGTCATCTGTAGTCTGCAAAGAAAATAAGAGTCAAACAGATGTACTTGAATTGACTGAACATGTTTCAAGTTTCTCACCAGCAAGTCTTCTTTTTTTTTCTTTTTTTTAATTGAATTTATGCAAGGCCCAGAGCATTCCAGACTTAAAGTGTAATGGTGCAGTGACACTCTCCAACTCTGTATTAATGGGACTTTGCTTTTCAATTTGCACTTGTCAGGATTTAGAATTGTGTTAGATATCCAGTGTGGACGCTTACACATTTTAATTTTTTTTTTTTTTTTTTTTTTTTTTTTTTTTTGCAATAAGGACAGAAAGTAGAAGGACAGAATATGTATATTGAGGCTGCTGGTCTTCCCTCTTTATCTCCAGTATCTCTACTATGATATTACTGAGAACACTGAGGGCATTAAAATACAAGTCAAAATAATGAACTGCCTGCAGTGCAGCTTTAAAACTATTATAAATGTAGTGATCTTTTCTCCATTAACTGCACTTACTTTCTCAGATGTAGAGTCAAAAAAAAAAAAGGAAAAGAAGCAAACATGTCTCTCACTGAGCTGAAAACTATTTAATGAAAAGAAAGTCAAGGAAAGAAAACAACAATAAATGCGTATATGCTAGAAATTATTATGGTATTTTCTTAAATAAGTGAAAACCTCTTATTTTATTCAATAAGTGATATATTGTGTGAGTGCTATGATTAGGTCCCAGGACCAAAATGCATTGAACAATTATATAAATCAAGGCAAAGGAGACAAATCAGGGGATGTATGGTAAAATACACCATAAAAGTTAAAAAAAAGAACTGGGGAATTCCTATCTACTGCTTCTTACAGTGCAAAAACAAAAATATATTCAATGAAACACTGATATAATCAGTCAACATGAAAAAATTAATATCTTCGCAAGCCACCTCTGAGAACAGTCATTTAGAAATGTAATAAGAATGTCTACACTAATTCAGGAACATAATAGGAGGGAAATATAAACTGTCATGCACCTGGTCATTTCTCAAGAAATTAGTAAAGAGGTTAGGAAGCCATTTTTCCTATGGGCAAGGTGTTTCATAATCAACCATTTCAAACTTCTGTTCACCTCACCAAAGGAAATACATGGAGAGAATAAAATACTACATCATATTCAAACAAGAGGCTAAGGATGTAGCAGGCAAAAAACCATTCTTGGATTCCTGTATGATAAATATGCCAACAACCCATTTCAGTGAATGCAAAACTTCCTTTATCTCTCCATGGGCATAGAGGAGGGACATAAAATGCATGAAAGTTTTCCTTCATCAGTTTAAATCTGAAGATGTAAAAATTTTATAGCTTTGCAGCAGGGCCAAAGGCTAACCAATGTTGTTTATCATTATTATTCTAAGCAGAGTTTTAAAGCGAAGCACATTACAGTAATAGGCTTTACTTTGTCATGCTTCAAGAATATTAATGAATATAAGCTTTCAGCACTTCTCTGAAGTAGGAAAGTGATACAGGAATACATTCATTAATATGTGAGGCATAACAAAGAAAAGCCCATAATAATAATCATAATATATTTTAGAGGTAAAAGACTGAGGCATAACGGAATGAAGTAACTTGCTGAAGGTAATCAAAAAGGCTATAGACAGCAGCTATGTTTGGATGCCATAATCACAAAAATTATCTTTCTTTAAAGCTGAGAAAATTTGTAGCTAGAGGAAAAAACTGCAAACCTGAAATACTGCCAAAATTAGTTGGCAGATATGCAAAATTTAAAAAAAAACCCCAAAAAAGCTTTTTAGTTGTCCTTCATTTCTACCATGTAGAAAACCAAAGTTGTAACAAACGCCACCTGCAAACACCCTCTTGAATTTCCAATGTCCATTTTCTTTCTCCAGATGACAACCACTTAAGCTTGAAAACCAGTAGCTTGGTCTCTTTGAGGAAAATTACCTTTTTTTTTCTTTTTAAATATAAAGAAAAAAATAACCCAGTAACCAACAAAGCCTGCCCATACAAAAATATATCTGTACTGTAAACTCCACAACCATTAAATATAAAAACATAATAATAAGTACATAAAGTATCATGCATCTCCCAAAGAGTTTCAACTTGGTAAGTGAAGCCCTGGTGTCAAATTTTTCCTTTTGCCTGCAACACTGGACAAGACAATACTTTTATTACCTGTAGCCAGAATTCTGAATATTTATCAATGGATCACTGAGGAGCTCTACACAAATACCATTATTGTATGAGAGGATCACATGCATAGTCAACAGTCACAGCAAGAAACAGTCTCAGACCTACTGGTCTGACTGGAATTTTGGTTAGGGGTGCTTTGGCCCATGCACAGATGAGTCACCCTTGTAACTTGAGTGACCCAAGGAGAAATGATCAGACAGATTTATGGGATTATTGCAGTGTCTCTGATTACTCTTGATATAGGACAGCATGGTAAGACTTTAGGTAACTCTATTTATATGCACAATTTGTGGTACATACAAATTCAAAATCACCAGAAAAATAATGCACTTTAAGTACTTTCATGTCTGAGAGGTACTTTGCTCAGCTACTTATAAGAGAGTGTCAAAACTGTCTTCATAAAGTGACACTAATTCTAATCTATAGAAAGAGTAGTCATACTTCTACAAGAAGAAAGGATTGTTCTTGAATAAGAAAAATGCATGCATATTATGGGTACAGAAATGAATAATACCTTAAATAAATGCGAATATAGAACATCGAGAAAGACCTCATTAATATTTCAGCATATTAAAGGAAGTAATGTGTGTTTCAAAGTCAATACTTTGCATAAAACTCATTTTCTTGCAAGCAATAATCAAGTATCAGTAGCTGAATAAGAAGCAAAGTGATAAGATGGTGTTAAAAGTCTCTTTCTTCAGAAAAATATCTGACAAAGAATTCAAGTTTAAATACCAGTTAAAAGACGTGTCACAACCTGCCCCTATTGACCCCTTTCCCCAAATCCAAATAGCCCTTTGCTGCTACTCTTACACATTTTCAGAGCAAAGGGCAAAGGAGCTGTAAAAGGCAGGTGAGATAGCAGTGACCAAACTACAAATGAAAGCTATTGGTCTGTCTTACAGAATTCAAAATGGGATTCAGAGTTATCTAAAACACTAGAGAATATAGAGAATACATAAATTAAATACTGTGAGCCAGTTACTTTCTGGAGTTCTCTCTCCAGAAGAGGTCTGACTGATGCGAATTTACCTGAAGAGAGAGCAGAATTTAGACCTGAGGGTGTCAGACAGCCATGGAGTGCAGATCAATAATGCAAGATAGAGTAATGTGTTTTACTGACTTGACATTATCTTTTCCTCATGCTTTTTAATTTGGATGGGAAGACTTAAATCAGTTCTCCTAAGTGAATTGCCATTGTTGCTAGCACTATGGCTAATTTACAGGACACTGCTTCAAGCACTCTCATTAATCAAGGATTTAAGAGTCAGTGGAAAATCCCTTATTTACAGTGAGTGCCTAATAGGATAACATCCAACTGGTATCATCATCATACATGATTGGATTAGAATGTGTCTTGGGTGAGTTGTTCAAATTCATTTAAGAGGTGATACTCCAGTTGGAAGAAATAAAAAAAAAAATAAAATAGCAGGTATACAGCGTAAAAGGTCAGGCAGAATTTCTTTTAATTGCTTCTTCTTTGTGTTTCAGAGATTTTGCAGATTCAATTTGCAGCTATGACTATATGATTCAAAGTGCAGTCCACTGTAAAATGTGGATTCTCAAAAAGTTGTATATCTGTGCACATATCAAAAAGCTTACAATTAACATGGCAATGAAAAAATGGAGCCAAAAAATCCTACATTTAATAAAACTAGAAGTCATTGCAGCATGTTGGTTCTGACAACTATTCAGGGGTGTGGCCCCTGTAGGAATAGGTCTTGCTTACATCAGCTACGTCTGCTTGTAAAAATAAAGAAATTGGGATTTGTCTCTCAGCCAAGAGACAGTTTAAAATATCACCAATCTGCCACCTTGCCTGGGGAAGGAAATGGTGACTATTTCAAGAAAGCTCCTGGCCAGATGAAAAAATGACGCTGTAGTCATGGCTTAAATGCAGTGACAGTCTGTAGCTATGGATAAATATCAAGCTGCCTCAAAGGTTACTATCTCTGGTTCAAAACTAGTACCAGAAAATATGGCTGTGCCCTTCTAATAGTGCTCTCTGAATGCTATGCCATTAAAAGAAATAATTGCAAATGAATAAACAATACAGGAAAGTAAATTTTTATTATTATTCATTTTTTTGCAGGACTGAGATTAAATACACACCAACTTACTCCAGTTTTATGTATGAAGTCTACTATACCTGAGGGTATGAGAGAAATATGACCTAAAAATTAAATCACCAATCTGAGCTGTGCATTCATTAACAGTATAATGGATCCTGCATATTTTCTGCTGTAGTATGGCACCAGCTCTCTTTTAAATCATAGCACCCTACAGCTACTCTGAATATAGTTTATTCCTTTCTTGTTCAATAATACACTTTATCCAATGAGAACTGCAAGCGAATCCAAATTACACAATAGCTAAAAACTAGCAGTCCTAAATTATTATATGAATTATAACCAGCACAACCCCTTATGACTACTCTTTAAATTATTTTAGATGAGAACTTCAACTGTGTAACTCAGAATTACTCTTATTTATTTGTACAGCTCCAGTGCTGAATGATAGCAGAGAGTTGTGCTGTTGTGCCTGGTGCTAAAGGCACCTGGAAAGCAAAGGTTCTGCTCTGAGGAGCTTTGAGATTGATTTTGGACAACAAATGAGTGGGAGAAGGAGCAGAGGATGAGAAGGGTCAGGTGAGGATGCTACTGAGAGGCGCTGGCAGTTACACACAGGCTGTGATCTAGCACATTTCCCAAATTATGCTCCCATCGAGCAGGAAGGAAGGTCAGAAAGAAAGCAGGCACAGGAAAGCCAGGCAGGAGCCTATGACTGGCCAAGGAGATGCTGGGAACAGATGGTGCCTGGCGAGCACTGCCG